CTCTATATATGTTAACAAAATATCATTTGAATCTTATAATAAAATGTAATTTTAATGTATAGACCATCAGATACCACATATTGTTTTTTATTAAAGCTCTTTCTAATTATTGTGCTTTATGTTTGCTTACTTGGGTTTTAATGGACTGTTTTTACATTAGAAATAACTGTAGTGGATTGTGCAGTAAGGACCTGCTTTACTTAAATGCTATTAAACAATCATAATGTAACCTAGATGTCTAAAAGCATTCCCACTTTCAGCCCATTCAAGCTGCTTTAAATGCAGACATTTTTTTAAACATACTGACGAAAGTTCAAAGTTCCCCTCATTGCTAAACTTTTAACACTGACTCTAAAGAACATACTTTAAGTGTTACAGATTACAGTTCCAGATTTTTATGGGTTCAAGACAACAGTAGAATTATTGCTGATGCTTGTGGTCGAGTCAGGAATGAGCTTTTTAGTCTGCAGACCGCAGCGATTGGATGAATCCTAAAATTACCCGAGTAGATTGACCACCAAACATCATCACAGTTGGTTACAGGGCAGACAGATGTCCGTTTGCCAGGTCATGATTGCTCTGTGGAGGCAGAGTAAGTAGCCGAGATTGAAGCTTGTTTTTCTGTGTTATTTCTGCTCTGTGTGCACAAATCAGGTTGTTCAGGTTTAGCCCTTAAACAAGCTTAATCTGCTAATGAGGCGGATGGAGTGGGGGAGTGTGGAGGACAGATGTTGACGGCTGTGGTGAGCCGGTGGCGAGGACCAACGATGTTGTTACCAGTGTTTGACCAAAATGAGGTCCGAAGGCCAATACACATTATGTGATTGAGGAGACAGACGAGAGAGAGGCTGCTGACAGTTGGTTTATTACAAATTAGTTCATATTTTATGTGTTTGTTTTACTCGTGTTTGGGTGGAAAAGGCCTCTGAAACGACCACCATGGGACACAAAGACTCTCTACTGAAGGTTTCAGTGCTGGTTTTTTAATACTTTGGAGTAAACTCACATTATTGCCTCTAGCATCAACACTGCTTTCTGAAAAATTGATATAAGAGACTCTTTGAAAGGTCACTGTTGGTGTAGTATGAAACTATTGTTCAATCCTTCATTAACTTTTCCAGCTTTATTACCTACAATTCTTTACCTGCTATTCTTTACTGCAATGTATTGTGACAATACAATACAGACAAGTAGTTTCAAGATCCTGAATACACACAAGCAAAATGTCAAATTGCAGATCAAAGGTTTGTGAAGAACTCCTCAGGTGATGTGAGAAGAGAGAGTACTTTTCAAAGGCTGAATGTTTCTCCTGAGAGCTGTTCTGTCTCTCTACCATGATTTATGAGTTTAGAGTCAATAAAGTCAATAAATTCCAAACTAATGTTTTCAGGTGCAGCCATCCCTGTGGGCATCGATGTGCAAGTGGAGAGCATCGACAGCATCTCAGAGGTCAACATGGTGAGGAAGTCCTGTTTAACTCCCAGTATTCAACCTCAAGCTTAAATTCCAGCTTATCCAGCTTTGACTGGTTAACATACCTCATTAAGAATGACTTCAGGCAACTTCTGTCCACTGGTGAACATGGTAGACAAGTAGATCTGCACTGCTCACTGAATTCAGTGTTCAGCTGTTAAATTGCAGATAATTCATCTGTTAAAGGTAAAAACCAAACTAATTATATATATATTGACTCTATGTTTGAGAGTGATCTGTTGATCCTTACAAGTTAAAGGTCCAAACTTTGGGATTGCATCTCCCTCGTTTCACCCTTCCCTTCCAACAGCGAAGGAGAAACTACGATGGCCAAAAAAAAATTAAAAAAAATGAAAAGCCCTGTTCAAAGCCACTGTTGATGGTTTGTACCTTCTGGGCTACTGTATAAACATGACGGCCTCCATAGTAGATGACTCTTTCCCCCTGTAGATAAAAACTTTTCATTATAAGGAAACAAAAACACGACAATTATTATTCTCAGGTGATTATACACTAATTAAAACACACCTATGAATATTATATATTATATTTCTGTCAATAGATCCTCCTCAATGCTACACACTGAACCTTTAATATTTAAAGTTTGAGGTTGTCTTCTTTATATCTTAAAAGCACCTTTAAGTTTGAACCTTAAAAATAAATAAGTGACCTAAGGGGACAAAGAAAATGACCAAGCATTAATGAAAATTATCTAAATTTCTAAGGAGCAACTCTGTTACGTCTAACACATAAAGTGTCAGAATCTTTGGGCAGGTTTTTCCATTTATTTCAACATATTACGGCCGTTAAATTGATAATATGCTGCAACTTCAGGCGGTTGTGATGTCTACTTCAGGCTGCTCTGACATCACTTCCTGTCGGTCCCACCTCATCTGGTTTGCGACCCCCTCGCTGGCTCTGCTTTCAACTCAGCCGGCCACTTACTTACAAGTGCTTTATCGAGTTCCTGCAGCCGAAAGAGAGAGATAAATCGGTGGAGAGGACGACGTTGTCATGGCAGCTTTCACTGGAACGGTCAAAATCTGCATGTAGTCTGTAGATCACTTCAGTCCGCATTGTTGTCCTCTGGCTTCTGCAGAAAAATGTCCCTTTCATCTGTCACTGATTTCTTTTCAGCTCCAGTACTCCCGAAATAAAAGTGACACCATCCTGAAGACATACTTCAAATCATCAAGGTTTTCCCTTCCTGTGTTTACAGAAAGCCTGAAAACCTTTTTTGTTCAATTTGTTTTTGTTCAAGCTTATTTTTCAGCATTGTTTAATACAAATCCACGATTTAAAGGAAATCAAATGAGCCAAATATTCCAAAAGAAAAAGAAAATCCAAACGTAGGAACACTAATAATCAAGATACACATAAATAAAAGTTGTGTAATTGTTAATTAATTGAATAAAGCGGATATACAAAGCAAATATCTGCTTTGTTTCTACCCTACAGGACTTCACCATGACTCTGTACCTGCGGCACTACTGGAAAGACGAGCGGCTGGCTTTTCCGTCCCGAAACAATCAGAGCAGGACGTTTGACTCGAGGCTCGTGAAGAAGATCTGGGTTCCTGACGTTTTCTTCGTCCACTCCAAGCGCTCCTTCATCCACGACACCACCATGGAGAACATCATGCTGCGGGTTTACCCCGACGGAAACATCCTCTACAGCGTCAGGTACTCACAGATGCTAAAGAAGACATCCAATTACACCAAAGAGAAAGAAAATCCATCCAATCAGTGGTGTGTTGTTTCCCATTGTCCAAATGGCTGCAAATGAAGGCAATGGGAAAGTAACTGCAGTTCCTCAAACGGCCTCTTGAGGCAGATCACTGCAGAAATACATTTACATTTACAGTTTACAGCCTGGTAGAAAAAAATGGTTTTGGCCTCTTTAACTAATTTAGGTGAATTTTTATGCATAAATAAGGGTGTGGCCTCTTTGGATGCTGTCATAGGCTGTTTTCAGTAACATTCAGCTCCACTCGTCTTTGACCATTTTTGGACACACTGAGCTCTTCAGAAACCTGTGGATGACCTCACAGAGACCACGTCCGTTTTTAATTATACCGTTTTGTCACCACATGACCAAATGTGAGCATATTCTGTCCAACATATGGCTGCCAGATTTTGGCATTCGTTTGTTCAGACTTGAGCTGAAATCTCCTGTTAGTTAGCAGCACTTTGGCCAGTGTCAGCACCCAGAATCAGACCAGTGTCATTAACAACACATTAAAAATCTTGGCCCGAGGATGTATAGTGTACAGACATAGTTACACAAACAATTTTGATATAAATCATGAATTCATAAATGTCATTTCATGGCTTCCATCCACCAGTCTCAACCACAAAGTGTAAACCTCAAGGTGGTGTTAGAGGAAAAAGGATCATTTTCACCTGAGAAATGAAATAAAAGCAGCTCTGTGAGGCTGTACTCACTGTAGGTACAGCAGCGCTTTTACCCTAAATGCTAACATTTTTACAATAACAAGGCTAACATGTTGATGTTCACCATCTAAGTTTAGCGCTGAACAAACGCTAAAATATTTCACTAGATAAGGGAAAACTTCGACCTGGTGGGGGCGCTAGAGAACAAGCCAAGGGATCACTTAAGTCAGTAGGATTCATCCTCTGGGGACCATCAATGTTTGTACTGAATGAAAATCCCTCCGTAGTTGTTCAGATGTTTTAGTCTAACCATAATGTGCAAACATTACCATCCATAGATCTTTGCAGCTGTTACAGTGATTAATACACTAACTTGTTTCCATAGATGTCCTTTAGGCTTCATATTTAGCTATCTTAATACCCCAAGAGGCAGTTTGCCTCTGCCCAACACCCCAGTATGTTCTGAATGTGGGAATGTTTAAAAAACCGACAGGAACTGAAGGTTTCTTAATCCTTTTTTGCTCTATCAACTACTTTCCACTCTCCTCCTCTACTCTTTGGCCCCAGAAGAGTATTTCAGATGTCACGCCGGCAAAAAGCCGCTGAAAATTGAAAGAGACTGAAACTACCTTCTGGTTTCCTTGGCAACAGCAGGAGAGGTCTATCCAGGACACGATGGATGACTGTAGTGAAAGCTGCATTACGTGTTTGTGTGTTTCAGGGTCACTGTGACGGCTCTCTGCTCGATGGACTTCAGCAGCTTCCCTCTGGACACACAGAACTGCTCGCTGGAGCTGGAGAGCTGTGAGACACACACACACACACACACACACACACACACATATATACAGTATATAAACGTATACACACTTCACACATGTTGTTACATCATGAGGTGACACAGCAACATGTGTGACTGATTAACTCAGACAACTGCCAGCAGAACAAACTCTGTCTCTTTTTCCAGTTCTCATCTTTCCTCTGTTTTTCCATGACACTGAACACTTCCCTCGCTTTGTCTCTCTCCCTCTCTCTCTTTCTCTCTTTCTCTCTCTTTCTCTCTTTCTCTCACTTTCTCTCCACAGACGCGTATAATGAGAACGACCTGATGCTTTACTGGAAGAATGGGAACGACTCTCTGAGGACGGATGAGATCGTCTTGTCTCAGTTCTTCATTGAGCATTTCCAAGCCTCCAGTGGCCTGGCTTTCTACAGCAGCACCGGTCTGTGTGTGTGTGTGTGCGGTTTAATAACCTGAATTCATGGTGAAAGGGCTGAAAAACAAATATAATACAATATAATCTAACCCGGCGTTATAATTGTTTTTACTAAATGGCCAAAAGTATGTGGACACTGCCGTCTATAAACCTTTGTGTACTTTTGGTCCAATGAAGTTAAACCTTAATGCAGCAGCATACGATGATATTTTAGACCAGTGGTTTCAATCAGGGGGGTCCGACCAAATTTGAGGGGTCACCAGATGATCAAACAGTGTTAATATGTGTTCCTTTCATCTTTTTATTAACTTTAAAAAGTATTCAAACCAAACAAGGAACAGAAATCCCTCCCTGATCACAACCAACAGGCAGATTAAATGTAAAAAGGGAGTTTTTAACTGCTTATGAAACAGTCTCAATTTATACTGATGCCTCTGTGACCTATATAAGCACAGGAGACCATCAGCAACATTAGCTATTTCTGTATAGTTATTCTTAAAGCCGGCTCTCTTTTTTGTCAGGCTGGTACAACCGTCTGTTCATTAACTTCATCCTGCGGAGGCACATCTTCTTCTTCATGCTGCAGACGTACTTTCCCACCATGCTGATGGTCGTCCTGTCCTGGGTCTCCTTCTGGATCGACAGGCGGGCCGTCCCTGCGCGTGTCTCCCTGGGTAACAACATTACATCAGTATCAACAATCTGAAAGTGGAGATTGTGCTCCTGTTGTGTCTGAAACACCTTTTTTGCTTCTTCCTCCTGCAGGTATAACCACAGTGCTCACAATGTCCACCATCATCACCGGAGTGTCCTCGTCCATGCCTCAGGTAGCAGCTGTGTGTGTGTGTGTGTGTGTGTGTGCGTTATAACCTCACATATAACCTGTGTGTTATCTTTTCATACTTGAATTCAGAGTCTTTGTCTCTTCTGTCGACTATGCACACACTTATGACTCTGCGTTTGTTTGCCCAGGTATCGTACGTGAAGGCAGTGGACATCTACCTGTGGACCAGCTTCCTGTTCGTCTTCCTGTCTGTGATCGAATACGCGGCCGTCAACTACTGCACCACTCTGGAGGAGATGAGGAAGATGAAGAGGGGGAAGGTGCAGCACAGGAAACACACACACACACACACACACACAAACACAACAGGAAGGGAAACAGAGAATCAGCACACGCATATTTTACTTAATGTCTCACTCTAGTGGCCAAACAGAGGCATTACATCCTCCTCTCATGCAAACTAAGTCATGTAACTAAGTATATTCACTCACTTAAGTACAGATTAACAGTATCTGTACTTGAGTATTTCCAATTCATGACATTTTAGAGGGAAATATTGCACTTTATACGTATACACATTTATCTGGCGGCTGTAATTACTAGTTAAAGGTCCAGTGTGTAACATTTAGGAGGATCTATTGGCAGAAATGGGATAGCAATAGCAATCTGCAACTACACCACGAGATGGCACTAAAAGAACCTTTTAAAACATTAATTTAGTTGATTGAAAATATGAACATTTGACTCATTATTAATATAAAAATATTGATAGTGCAGCTCTAACTGCTCTCCGTGCCGTTTTAGATCCCATCCACCTTCAACGCCAGCCAGGCGATGGCCTTCGACGGCTGTTTCCATGACAACGACATCGAGCTGACTCCGTTCTCCCGCGTCACACCCACCCTGACTTCTGACCCCCTCACCACGCCGGCCCAAACCCCAGACATCCGGCCCACGGAGGGGACTCGCCTCCGCCGGCAGCGGTCCGTGCGTGAAAACGTGGACCTGCTGGTGAGCAACAGCTACATGATCGACTCGTACTCCCGTCTCGCCTTCCCTCTGTCCTACCTGCTCTTCAACACCATCTACTGGTGCCTGTACTCCTGATCCAGCACTGCAGACTCTCTCCAATGAACTTTGGTGAACTGTGTTGAGTCAGAGGATTCCTCCTCCTCTCCACGCGGCTCCACTTCACTGAATTAACTCTTGATCTCAGGAGCCCCCCTTCAGCTTCATCACTAATCGTGTTCTTCACAAGAGACATAAAAGCACTCCAGTTCCTCCGAGTAGGAACCGTTAATTGTGCACAGTTTCACCCTGACGTGTGTCTCATGGGTGCGGGTTGAGTCCTGACACTTGGAAAGTAATGGATCCTGATTAGTTTACACGTGACTCTTCTTTCTGTGCATCTTATTTCTGAAGGTTGTTTCACTTTTGTCGGTATCTTTATAGCTACAGGGAAAAACTACATTAGGATCAAACTTGTGTGAAAATGTTTCCTTCTCCCCCCTTTTTGATGAACAATGTGAGTGGAGCCAACCAACTACTGTACGTGTAATTTAATATCTTTTCTCATTAAATTTTTATCTTGCTCATGAGGATGTAAAAGTGAATTTATGCGTACTGCAGGCGCCATACTGGGTCTTTTTTGTGTGAGAAGTTTAATTTTAAAAACTTGCAGGGATGATTTAGAAACCACCTGGTGGCTCTTTTATAAGCTTTATAAGTCTTTTTAGACTTAATAAATAAATAAATAAATAAAACAAAGTTCTCCAAACACAATAAATATATAGTTATGAAATCTGTTTACGTTCAAATAAGGAGTCCAGTTATTTTTTCACAACTTTCTATCCATTGAGGGAATTTTATATTTATATATTAATCAATTTTAAATAACAAAACAAGAATGAAAGTTTTCAGCACCCCCCAGATTATTATTTTCTTTAACAGCATTGAGATCTTTATGTTTGGATATAAATTTACAGAAAGTATATTTAAACCGTTAACTGAATGAAAATAATATTTTATATTTCACATGAATATTTATATATATTAGAGATTTTAAAAGATTTTTTGCAAGATTTATTTTCAGATTATATTGGTTTACAATTAACACATTGCTAACATAGAGTGGTCTTTTTTTTTATAGCTAAATCCAATAATAATCTGACTACTGACAGGCCAAATATTAAATAAAGGCTTCACTTAGATCTTTATCTTGTGAAATATAATTGACAGAAAGTATAACAGAAAGCCACCTGCATTAATAAAATTGGAAAAAACCAAGTAATTTAGAAAGTATGAGATAATTTTATTTAATTTATTTTGAAAATTTTTCTGAGGGTGCTAATCTGCGGTGCGTTTGAGGACCTCAGTATTTCTAAACTCCTCCTATTTCTAAACTTTTAACTGGCAGATTTTGTGGCACATAGTTTTAGACTCTTAAACTGTAAATAAAGTTGTCAGCTTCCTCCCAGGATTTATTCAAAATAGTTGAGTGGAGGCTTTAAAAGTCGGGAAATAAGATTTACATCAACTATAATAACAAATAAATCACGTAAAAGTCCTAATATTTAAAAAAAATATAATTTTAGTTTTTAGTTGGATGTCGGGAGATGCGTTTGCGGCCTCGTGTCCTCAGTATTCCTAAAAAAAAAATAAAATAAACATAAAAATAAAATTAAAACATCACAATTGTCAGATTTTATTGAAACGTACAGTCTCCATAGCAACCGGAGAGGTCGGGAAGAGTTCACGGTAACGGGCGGTTGTTTGTTTGTTTGTTTTAATGGAAGCAAACGGAAAGAGGAAAACCCCGCAACGACGCACCGCAACAAAGCCAGACATCGAGCCTGACGTGAACGCAGCAGGAGGTGCAGGTGACAGGTGAGCTCCCCCCCTCTCCAATCGGGATCAGTGAAAAACAAAGTGGGGGACATTTTACGTAACATTTATTTAGTTTATATTAGTTTGTAACGTGTAGCTGTAGCTCGGCGGCGACCGTTAGTCTCCTTTAACGTTGTTATGGTTCAATTTACGGACGTTGGCTGGCTAACGGTGGCGAGCTAACTTCACTTAATCTACATTTACAGAAGTCTTTTTCACCAACTAAAGTCTGTTAGAAAGGTTATTAATTCATCTTGGATAGCCTTTAACAGGTAGGTTAAAACAAACCAGACCTGACGTTAACTGCGGAGGTTTTTAGCTACGTTTTTCACTGCATAACTGTATTGCAAATGCTTGTTTTCAGTCGTTTCTAAATGGGAAAACCTTATTAACTTAACTAATTTAACTTACAGCTTGTAAAGTTTGTTACCCAGATGCTTTGGAGATTAAATATCAGTTAAGTTAGGACACTATTTCGCATTAATTATGGGTTATTTCATGTAATTTAGCCCTGAACTCAATGTACAGCTAAGTTAAACCAAACACATAACCTAAAGTTTATAACTTAATACAGTTTCAGATCAGTTTATTTTAATCTGCTGGTGAAGTTTCAGTGTCAGGGTCGACACACATCCTGGAAAACATGGAAACACCTGGAATATGATTGAAATCCATCAAAAAAATCCCTGGAAATACTTTATATTTAACTTCTGGGCTTTAAACTTTAATGTTATAGTGAGATAATGACCAAGAACCACCAATAAATAAAGCACAGACCACTCACCTGTAATAAAGAGACACTTAAAAGCATGAAAATAAATCTAAAACGAATAATAAAAGCAACTAAAAGCACATAGAATAAAAAACTCAGACAGTAAGTTAAGATAACTCCTTTATTTATCCCCTTAAGGAGAAATTAAATTTCATAAAGCAGTGCAAAAAACAGAAAACAAAGAATATCACAGTAAAAATATTGCTAATATTATTAATATTAGAAGATATAAAAACTATAAATTAAAGTATGTACACTATTTGTTGTTCAAGTAGGACAAAATATGAGCAGAAAATTAAACTAAAACAACTAAACTACTAAATATAAATAGTGCAAAAGGTTTGTGCGTCTGCTGGGGTTTGAGGACTAAATATAAATAAAATAAACAATAAAATAGAAGATTTGAAGCTCATCTGTCTTTTATTTCATTGGGTTTCATCTCAAACATCTCTAAGATCCGGACTCTGTTGTCGTTTCCTTTGCAGCAGTTCAGTCGGCACTATTTACCAGGACTCCCCCGCCGCCAGTCTCCGTGGTGACCATCGACAGCGTTGAGTTCACCCACCAGCCCGTGTCACATGACGTCGGACCAGAATCCACTGAGTCCAGAGGTGCCGTTAACGCTCGGAGCGCTGGGTCCTGGATACTACTACTTCTACCAGGTAGTGTCATATTAACCCTTAAT